CTTGAACCTGGAGATCCGCCTGCCTCTGCCTCCCCAGTGCTGGGATTAAAGGAGTGTGCCGCCACTGCCCTGCTGAGAACAGATTTTTTTTTTTTTTAAGAATACATTTACTTAATGATCTACGGGTATGTTTGGAGGTCAGGCATCAACTTACTTACAGGAGCTGATTCCTTCCTTCTACGCTGTGGGTTCTGGGATTGGATCTCAGGTTACCAGGCTTAGGGGCAAGCGTCCTTACTCACTGCGCCATGCTGCTGGCCCCTCAGAACAGTAACTGCATGATGTATAATCATGAGACGATAGCATGCATCAGACTTCTTTGGATTTGACCCTGCTGACCAAAAACTGATAAGGTGGCTTTTGTGTTTTTGTGTTTTGGGTTGCTTTTGAGGCATCTCTCCTCTGCCTAACTCTGTGACAGTGACCGATTGTGGTACCCACCTGCACCTGTCCACAGGGAAAGGTAACACACTCCACCCCAACCCAGTCAACTCAGCCAGATGCTTGGAACCCACTGGGTAATGGTTTCTGAGGTAGGCAAGCATCCAGATGGTCAAGCTTTGTTCTCCAGGTTGACTTTTTTAAGACCACATATTTTAACCTCAAGAAATTGTCCAAAATGCTAGGAAAGCATAAATAAAATAGGAATTAAACTACAGACTCACTATACTTTCCTTGCATTTATTTTAGTGTGTGTGTGTGTGTGTGTGTGTGTGTGTGCGTGTAGATCAGAAAACAACCTGTGAGACTTGGTTCTCTCCTTCCACCACATGGCTCCCAGGGATCATCCTCAGGTCACCAGGCTTGGTGACAGTCGCCTCTACCAGCAGAGCTGACGTGCTGGCCCCTCGTTGTGCTTCTGTTAACACACCTACCTCTAGAGGTAGCACATAACCTTCAGTAGGTACGAAGAGTGTGTCCACTTCGCCATGAACATGTTTCCTGCCTGAGGACCGAGTGCTGGGGGACAGCAGTTGTGGAGGGGAGAAGCCGGCAGCTGTAACAGGGGTGAATGCAGGAGAGCGGCAAGTGCCATCCGCTCTGAGATTTAGTCCAAGTACCCTCTGCTTCCCTCGTCCGGCACCGTCACTCAGTGGGGACACTGGGGACACATTGATCACTCCCTTCTCTCTCACATAACTGAGCTCTGGTTCCTTCGGGGCCGCCCAGCACTCCGCCTGCCCATACCTGTGTCTTCATCGTAAGATAGACACTGTGCCCCTGGACTGAGTCCTCAGCCCATGCCATCCTACAGCAGGGTGGGCAAAGCCCTTTCTACCCTTGACGTGGAGCGCAGAGTCCGGGGGCTGGATTTTCTCTGCAGGCGTCTGAACTCCACTCTGGGTCATGAGTCCCCGCAGAGACAGAACCTGTACAGCAAATCAGATTACTGTGAACAAGAGTGGCATCTTTCTCTCGGCTCTTCAGGGGGCCGCAAAGCCCAGGGGAGCAATTCTTCATCCAGGAAAAAGCTGAGGACGTGGGCAATGACTAGGCTGTGAACTATCAGGGGTTCTGGACATCCCTTCCTGAACTTTCTCTAGGGAAGGTGATTCTTATCTCACGTTACCACTGAAAGTGATGAGATGATGCTAATAACTTAACAACAAATGGCAGTACAAGCCAGACGTCCATTGTATCAGCTCTGTGACTCGCACCTGAGGTTCCTTTAAGCCTCAACTTTCTCATCTAGAAAATGGACTACTCATAGTCCCCATCTCGCAGGTTTGAAGTGAGGATTAAATATGATTTTTAAACGTGTATTTTAGCACAGAATTTATGTCCGGTGAATGTAGATGGTCTCGTCAATGGCTAGCCTGTGTCTCAGGCTACTTTCTGCCCCCCCCACATTCTCCCACCCCTCTACTCCTCCCCCACCCCTCCACACTCTCCCACCCCTCTATTCTCCCCCCCATCCCCCCCCCCCCCCACATTCTCCCACCCCTCTACTCTCCCCCCCCACCCCTCCACACTCTCCCACCCCTCTATTCTCCCCCCACCCCCCACACTCTCCCACCCCTCTACTCTCCCACCCCACCCCACCCCTCCACACTCTCCCACCCATTCCAATCTTTGACACCATTGCTGGCCGCCCTCCACATCCTTCTTATCTCTCTCAGCCCCCAGTGTCTGGTCACCGTCTAGTCTCTGAGACTTCTAAGCACCGACCGAGAGAGCCTTCACTTTTAGGGATATGAGAGCTGAGACAGCTAGAGGTCATCTGAAATGACAATTGAAGTCAGGAAGCCTGCCAGGGACACATTCTGATTTCATTGTTTTACTTCAAAGCACCTTTGTCTAGGCGCCTACAGTTTTTTGTTTTGTCTTTTTTTTTTTTTTTTTTTTTTTTTTTTTTTTTTTTTTTTTTTTTTTTTAAAGATTTACTTATTTATTTTGTATACAGCATGTATGACCAGAAGAGGGCACCAGATCTCATTACAGATGGTTGTGAGCCACCATGTGGTTGCTGGGAGTTGAACTCAGGACCTCTGGAAGAGCAGTCAGTGCTCTTAACCTCTGAGCCATCTCTCCAGCCCTTGTTTTGTCTTTTAATAAGCCATTTCCCCGAGAGCAAGGTGACAAAGGGTGGCAGTTCTGTCCCAGCTTGTAGCAGGTTTCACTCCCTTTGATTCGCCAGCCTTTGAGCGGATCAAAGGCCTCTTCTGCTCACTTAGGATAGATATCCTCTTTTTAAAATTTTTATTTATTTGTATTTTATGTACACTGGTGTTCTGCCTGCATGTATGTCTGTGTGAAGGTGTCGGATCCCCTGGAACTGGAGTTACAGACAGTTGTGAGCTGCCATGTGGGTGCTGGGAGCTGAACCCCAGGTCCTCACGAAGAGCAATCAATGCTCTTAACAGCTGAGCCATCTTTCCAGCACGATATATATCCTCTTTAAAGGTACTAAAATAAATAGTTGGGGCCTAATAAAAACAGCCCATTCACTCTTTGCAGGGAAAATGAAATGCTATTTTTTTTCTTCTAAATAGCTTTAAGTTTTTATCATCAGTGTCCTTTGAAATACATATGAGTGGAATTCTTGACTAGGTAGTATATTCATAGTACCACTAAAAACTTTTTAAAAAATCAACTGGGATTTTTCTAAACAATTTATTCCTTTCTACTTTATGTGTACTGAGGTGTGTTTTGCCCATGTGCTTATCTGTAAACCACGCATGCAGTACCTGTGGGGACCAGAAGAGGGCATTGCACCCCTGGAACCCAAGTAACAGATGGTTGTGAACTGCCACGTGGGGACTGGAGACTATACCTGGGTCCTCTGGAAGAACAGCTCGGCCATCTCTCAAGTCCCAAATTAAAAATTTAAAAGAATGTATATATTTAAGGCTGGATGTGGTAGCGCACGCCTTTAATCCCAGCACTCCAGAGGCAGAGGCAGGTGCATCTTCTGTGCGTTCAAGACCAGCCTGGTCTACATCGTGAGTTCCAGGACAGCCAGAGAGACAGAGAGAGACCCTGTCTCAAAACAAACAAACAAATATTTAGAGTGGCAATATACAAGAGCGTGTTTGCTTGTTACAACGACCCCAATCTGCTGTTCCTCGATAATTACGATTGGTGTTCAAAAACAACATTCTCTCTAATTCACAGAAATGGTTTTACCTCAGAAAAAGTGAGCTCAGTATAATAAAAGCAATGAATAAAATAATAAGTTAGTTCAGTAAGTAATAAAATGTGATAGTGTACTATGTGCAGGATACTGGGTTGACCTTTTCTCATAAGGTCATTTATTCTTTCCGAAAACCACAGGAAGTGGGTGCACTGATTATGCCCGCTATATAGCTGAGGAACTCAGGGTTAGCAAAGTTAATCATTTTCCTCAGGCTACAATGCTAGAGAGCTGGTACCAGGCGGGAACTGGGACCTTGTGAGACTCAGTGTAGCATTTCCTCAGTACCCTTGTGGCCTGTTCATTCCCTGCCTTGTAACATGGGGAAAGTGCCAACCCAGTTATTAATGGATATTTTTGAAGGAAAACCTTCCGATCCTGTTTTGCATAGAGCCCATACGTTCTCTGAAGCTGATAGAAGAAAATGAGCTCATCCCTAAAGTATGCATATGAATTAGCAGGACCTCAGCCTGATGACAGACTTCAGGAGGCTAAAACCCTGCCAGCTGAGTTGGGTTTGAGAATGATTAAATGCCCGCCTTCCCATAATGTGAATGGTTTGCAAAACATGCTGATAAACCAGGACGTTTCTAGAAGTGCCATTTTTGGAAGTTTTTTTGCCTAAAATATAAAAATTATATTGTCACCTTTCCTTTCATTTGTCAAATGAGTTAATAAACCAGGAAGTCTGGTCGTGTTGGGTTGTGGGGTGGAGTTTGCACATTTGTGTGTGTGTGTGTGGGGGGGGGTTAAATAATTATTACATAGTCATTCTATTGGAAACTCTCAATCATAAATATACTAGGGAGAGGAGGACCCAGTGCCTTACGAGATGACGGTCAAACGTCACCCTGATAGAGCATAACCAGTCATTATTAAAATACAATACTCTTATTTAATCCTCCCACCGAGCGTAAAAATAACGTGAGACAAAGCTGACTGGAATCGGGACACGATAGCAAGGATTCATGAAGGAGAAGGCAGGATCCTGATGCCTTTGCGTCCTGGCTTCCTCCTGCTTATGAAATTAGCTGTATTGGGCTGCGTGAGTCTTAGAAATGACGGCATGAAGAACCCGGTCCATGGTGGAATCCGGGCGTTCCACAGACAAGCCGGTTAAGCTGGTGTACCTTCCCTTCCGGCGCACGCGCTGGAGCTCCGGTACCCCTCAAAAAAGCCTGCATTGCCCAAAATGCAGATTCCCTTCTGCTCATCACAGAGCGGGGAGGAAAGGCCAGGCAGACTTCTGGCTTCTCGGTTGCAGCGAGGCTGACGGATTCACCACCCCCCCCCCCACACACACACACACATACACACCCCTCCCCAAACGCTGCTGCATCCGAATGCAAGCGTGCAGCTGGCTTACCGCAGAGTGCCGCAGTTGAGTGTCTTCAGGGACAGACACTGGGGGAAATCGCAGCCCGAGCACACCCGGGCCGCCGCCTGCCAACCTTTCTGCACCGAGGAGCCAGCCCCCAGGCAGCTGGCCAATTTCTCGTCCCGGTCCCTGGGGCTGGGGCTGCGAGGTGGAGGCTGGGTGGGTGCTCAGGTTGAGAAAGGCAGCGGCTGGGGGCGGGGCTTCTGCCCATCCCTCGGCAGGGGGCTGCAGGCTGGGCAGCCAGGAGGCCCAGACGGCCTGCCCGCCCCTGCACGGCAGCAGCTCCCGGTGCAGGTGGGGACGTCTTGCTGCCGTACCTGGCTCTGGCTGAGCATGTGGGCGGCCGGAGGCAGGCGGGGCCGCAGGCATTGCCGCTTATGTCAGCTCTGAAATGAAAGCCGCTGAGGCCTCTGCCTCCGAAGGCTTGCAAGGGAGATTGGCACCCAGCAAATAAGAAGCCAGCCCTGGCCCCCGGAGGAGGAGGAGGAAGAGGAGGAGAGGCTGAGCATCCCTCTCCCGGTGTCCTTTAAATGAGGAGCGTGCCTCTTTGCTTCTGACCCTCGCTTACATCACTAACCTGTGACAGGGCACATCTCCACGCCCGGTACCTGCTCCTCCAACAGCAGCTTCCAGTCTTCTTTGTATGCGGCAGACATGGCCAGCCAGCAGGATTCCGGCTTCTTTGAAATCAGTATCAAATATTTACTGAAATCCTGGAGTAACGGTGAGTAATAGAAAACAAGCTTTTTGTTGTTTTGTTTTCTGGGTGCTGCTAAGGTTGGAGGAATCAGATCTCAACCGGACACATATGTTTGTGAGCTGAGGAAGTTTCTCTCTCTCTCTCTCTCTCTCTCTCTCTCTCTCTCTCTCTCTCTCTCTCTCTCTCTCTCTCTCTCTCTCTCTCTCTCTCTCTCCCTCTCCTTCCATCTGCTGTGGAAATCAAAACGTCAGAGTCTGAACTAGCCTTGCTTAACTTCGAAGGCTGCAGTAGAATTATAGTAGATTTTGTTTGCTTAAAATTTCCAGAGATATGGCCCGTCAGACTCCAGGGAGGGCAGATTCGGCATTCCAGGCTATACTGCCTGCCTGGTGTTTATTTGGTATGTTCAGGCTTTATCTAAATATTTTGTGAAGTGCAGTTTAATCGAAGGGGTGTGGCAGGGTGGTGAGTACTTTGGAATTGTTTTATTAGGGTATTGTCTGAAGAAGGACAACTACTTCGGAGTCCAAAACCCAAGGCTCATCCTTGCCAGGCATAGCCTCATCTGCAGATCCTTTTGATCTTTCCCTGGTCCCCATGGACGATGTTCAGAATGCTATTTACCGCTAGCATTTCTGGAGATCCCAATTGCTCTAGTCCAAACATGCTTCTCTGAAATGTAAACAAGTACAGTTCTGACCCAAATGGTTCCTTAGACTGTAAGAATATCATGGTTCTGAAGTTGCGTGTCTGACCTATATAAAAAATTTTTTTTTTTATCAATTCACTCTTTCAAAAAGACAACCTCCTGGGTCTGGGTTGGAATCAGAGCGAGGCCTCCGGGTGCTCTGGAATACCTTGTGTGTTTCTGCACAGTTTAAAAGCAAAGCCTGCCCGGGCACCAGCTTTTGGACTTATTTTATACAAAAAGACTGCTGGGTCTTACTGATGTTTCACTGTTTCAAATTACATTTTTTTTCTAAAAATTATTTTCCATATTTTATTAGGTATATTCGAATTAATCTGCCTGGACTCTTGAGGGGTGACGGATGTCTCCTCCTCTGATGACCTGGAGCCAAAAATTGTTTTTATGTAAACAAACCTCGGCAGGGGAACTTGGGCTGGACTGTTTGGAGAAGAGTGAAATACTGCTTGAGGATATTTGGGGGGTTCGTCTCGGAATGACATCCCCAGAAGCCATTTTCCCTGGGTCACTGAACCCCACTGTGCACCAGGGGCTTGTCTGGAGTGTTTCTGTACAAGTGGGAGGCCATTTGGGAGCAATACTGCTGTGTTGTCGAAGCCATAAATCATTTAACTTGGGTTCATTTTCTGTATCCCCCATGCTCACAGATGAATCTTCCTTTGTCTGTCTACCCTTTGATTAGGGAAAAGAATTTGACAGACTGGACACTGTAGAGAGCAGTTTGTCTCGATGGAAAACAAAACAAAACAAAACAAAAGCAAACAAACAAAAATACCTCACAAGTTTGATATCAATCTGTGGATTTTAAACTCCATTTGGTTATTCCAAAGCCTGTTTCCTTCTATGAGTTTTTGTCATGCCTTTAGATGGAAAATGACGCTGTGACAGCACCTGATGGGATTTCTTTCAAACCTTCTTGTCTGTCTTCAAATGACTCTAGACAGAATAGATAATTGCTTCATCTCCTTATTTTTCCCTGTATCCCCACACCAGGAAATGGTTCAAAATTATTGTTCATTTCAACTTAGAGAGTATCTGTGACTCGATTTCAATGTCTCCCAGTTCATTCAGCAAAGATTTGCTGAGTTCCTTAACACTTGCCAGGCTGTGGGGTGTGTGAAAGAGACGGCCCCAACCACGTGTCCTGATTCCTTCGTTTCAGGACAATGAAGTTGGTAATGTTCTTGGGAGTTGGGCGGGTCTGGATGGTTTATACCCCTTTCTTAAACGAGGAAAGGGAAATATGCTCACTGCCTTCCCCCTCTGGAGCTTGTCACAACACTTACCTGCGTACAGCCTGGCATAGTTCTCATCTCTAAGTTTTATATGTTTCCAGTAGCAGAGAGAGAAAGAGGAATTTGCCTGTACAAAAGACAGAGTGGAGAAACAGAAGCCCCAGGGCTTCGCCTGTGAGCGCAGCCTTGGCTGAAAGGCTGCATCCAGGGCAAGCAGCTAAGTGCGTGCTTGCGCATGCCTGGCTTCCCAGGTTGGCAAGGCAAAGATGCCCGCCCACATACCTGAATGGAGGACCAGCCCCCTAATTATGTGGTGGTGCTTATTTACACAAGTGCAGCAATTAAAAAGCAATGAAACAAACTCTGTAGCTGCAGCTGACTGCTTTCCTGGGCAGTAGTAGAGGGAAGGATGACGTCATAAGCATTTACAGGTTAAGGTTTCCGTTTGATAGAGAAAGGGCACGTTGTGGGGCGAAATGTCATTTTGTATATATCTTTGTCTCATCAGAAGAATTAAGAAGCCAATTAAGCACACTGGTCGCTGCCTGGCGAGATGAATTGGTTTCTACCTGGTGGCCTTGACGCTTTCTTCTTCCTTGGCATAACACACTCCACCCACCCTGTCAGGCTGCCCTTTGGTTTGAATGAAGCTGGGGCTTAGAGTGGTCTGACATCCTGATGTCCTGATGTCCTGACGTCCTGATGTCCTTATACAGACCTCACTGATGGCTTTTTCTTAACCTGCTTACACAACTGTCCTGTTCCCTGTACTTGTATCTGTGCCCCTGGGTGTCCATGGCCACAGCCACCCGTGGGCTTCTCAGCCACACTGGGACTATTCACTGGTCTTCTGATGTCAGACTCCGCTACCCATCTCCCTCTGGGCAGTATCTTCCGGGGCCTCCCCTGAGGGCCCTCCGTGCCCATCATCTGTCTTCTCTCTTCTTCTTTTCCTCTCTGTCTTCTGCGGTTCAGTAACTTGTTCCCACATCCCCGGCTGTTCACATCTCCACCCCATAATCTGGCAGGCTCACACCACAAATTACAGAGCCAGAGGGGCTTGCTGCCAATCTTCTAAGTCCTGTGCTTGTGTGGCCTTGGATTAGGCACTGACTCGGTTTCCTCATCCGCAAGAAGGAAGCCAAAGTAATGGGTGCCTCATAGGCATGGGGTGTTCAGACACGGAGCACTGGGGGGGAGGGGGCATCTCATACACCATAAGTGTTTGATAAATGCTGAAATAATATAAATGTATTCTGATGCTCATTTGTGTTCTGAACCTACTTAAAACGTGGCTTAGATAGTTTCCTTCCCTTCGCCTTGGCATCCTCAGTGGATTATTTGATGAATACTCAACACTTACTTCACCCCTGGACAAGGAAACACTATGGAGAGATGACAGTTAGGATTTACTTTCAAACTTTTCCCCTTTCTCTGTCTCAACGACTACCAAATGCTCCTGCTTTCCTTGACTGTGTGCCCTCTAGCCATGTGGAATGGACTTGGGAGTGTCTCGGTGGCGGGAAGTTGCTTTGGCCTTTAGGACAGCTCCAGAAGAAGTTTGAAATGGTTCGCTTCATGCTGCGTCGCAGGGTAGGAGAGTTTACACAGAGAGAGTGAGTGTGTGGGCTTGAGCGTCGTCTGAAAAGTCTAAATGACTCCCTTGTGCTGCTAACCAGCTCATGACTCCCAGGGAACACTGGCCCAATGAGATGAGTGAAGGACATTCAGAATCACCTGGCTCTTTCCAGAGTACACACCCTCCCTGTGGTACTTAGCCAGTCCTGCTACCCACTGAGGACTACATCTTTATGTTCATTAACTCTTTCAGGTCCTTAGGCTTCCCACACACAGTGAACTACCCTGGAAGAACTGAATGACCTCTTTGCATAGAGGTTGGTGTTCGCCAGTGTTGACTAATGTTTTTCTAAGGAAACTTGCACGTACGAGCAGAACCAGCTTCAGGGTTCTTCCAAGTTGTAGGGAGTTAATAAATACTTGATAAGTGTGGTGACTCACGCTCGTGATCCCATCACTTCAGAGGCAGAGAGTTCAAGGTTATCTTCATCTGTGTGAGACCCATTCTAAAAGAGAGAATGAGAGAGAGAGAGAGAGAGAGAGAGAGAGAGAGAGAGAGAGAGAGAGAGAGAGAAAATAATCCATTCAGCACAGAAATGGGGCTTGATGATGCTGGTTGTCAGGCCAAGGAAATCCCGGGCAACTACGAATTGGCTGTGAAGCCATACGTACTGATGATGCATAGGTATATGGCAGGTGACCCTCCAGGGCACTATGAGAAAGACCTTTTATAAAATCGGTTTAAAGATGTGAAAAATTAATATTAATAGAGTTGCCTGAACCTATCAATAGGTACAATTCAAATACAGACACATTTGGGATGTGTGTGTGTGTGTATGTGTGGGGGGGGTGTGTGTGTGTGTTTGTGTGTGTGTGTTTGTGTGTGTGTGTGTGTGTGTGTGTGTGTGTGTGTGTGTGTACTGGTGCTGGTGCTGGGTTGGAATTCAGGTTTCATGCCAGCTGAGCTACACCCCACCATTCGGTCCTTGCAGTGGAGGAGTGACCAAGCATTATTGTCTGCATTCAGCTGGGGAGAGGCTGCTGCGTCCCTGTAGCTCACAGCTGTGTGATGATGGCATCCCCTCAGAGGCCACAGGGTCACTTCTGCTGAAGCAATCTATAGCCTCATGAGAAACAATACCTCACACCA